GGGCGGATCAGCTGCCGGTTCGGGACCTAGGTTTTCATCATCATTCTCTTCAAGTTCCTCCTCGGTTCTCAAATACTTGGAACCGATGCTCGAAGAGTAAGTTGTGTCAGGCTGAGCCGGGAGATGTTCTCGAGCAGTTAACTCCAGTGCTCGGTCCTTGGCGATGCATTCATTAATGTCAACGATGACCTCTTTGGCCTCCTCTAAGGTTTTTCTCCTCATATGATACATAGCATGGATCCTTTCAAATACGAGGGAATCCCCTTGGTGTTGGAGCTTTGCCTTAAGTCTGTCAACCTCGTCCTGAAGGCCATCCCTCTCAGATCTCATGGCGACGAGGCTAGAATCGAGATCACGGATTGTCGAAAGGTGAAGCCAATTGTTATCCATGATCTTATTAAATCTCTTCTCCATCCTGCCCTCTTCTCCTCGGCGGTATTAGCCTCCTCGGTTTTGGAGCTCAAGGTTGCCTCCAAGTTATTCACCTGTTCAATGGAGGCAGACTCGCGTTCGGCAGTAGAAAGAACAATATCTTGGAGCTCACCCCACTTAGCCTTAGAATCTTAGAGTTGTGCTTGTAGTTAAGTGGCTTCTTGGATGTGGGCCACCATTTCTTGCTCACTTTGCTGCAACCGGGTCTCAATCTCGCTTCAGCAGCCTTTGCCTCCAGCATCGGGAGGCGTGCAGCAAGTTGATTTCTTTCTACCAACAACTGGTCTCGTTTAGAGACAAGTACTTCTTTATCGACAATCAATATCTGAAGGCTCTCGAAAGCAAGGAAGTTGGCCGGCAAAAAGTATATCAAAGTTAGAAACCCCATTACAACATATAAGTAAAAAACAAGTAATAAGAGAGCAAGTACGATACCGCTGCCGCATTTTCCACCGGCCTGGACAGCAGATGGAACCCCTTCAAAATTGAAAGAGTGGCACTCCTCCTCCCTCGGGATTTGGAGAAGGGGGTGAATAATTATGCCCCAAATTCCCATGGTCGGGAGACTGGGGAGGAAAAGCACCCTCATCTCGGGCGTCTGTGGCTGATGGAGGAGATGCAGCGGATGCTGGTGGCAAAGGTACAACTAGTGTATAGAAGTTGTTGGAGTTGTAGGTTGAGAAGCAACAACAAGAGGAGTAGTGCTGATTATTGGTTGCTCATCGACCGAAGGCAAAGAGGCCTGGCTTCCGATCTCATGGGACTAGAAATAGAAATAGGGGTGTTGGCCCAAGTAAAGGTTAGTTTTGAAGACTGGCAAAGGAACTCAGGCATGAACCAGTCCATCCCTTGTGTGCATAGAAATGGGCAGATTCGAGCATGTGGGATGCACATGAAGGAGATAAGATTAAATTGGTGTATTTGATATCTCCCGATCGAAAAGGTTGCATAATTGATAAGGAGAAGGACTCTTTAATCAAAGAGAACACTATCCAATATAGGGAAGGAGTTAGAAGTTGAAATCAACTAGAACTCTTCCACCAAGGAAGAGTTGCATCAGAACTCTAGTTATTTCTTCATCTACTAACTCTATAAATTGTACGATGTTCTCACATTACATGTGTTTCACAAAACGCAGAAGTTAAATGTGAATTGAGAGTTCACGTGTGATTCAAGTGTGCAAACCTGAAGCTACATGAACCAGATTGAAGAACCAGCTCCATAAAGAGTTTTATGTGTCTTTCTTTATTTTTAGTTCAATTGTATTAGGTGTTTTCATATTGTACCTTTCAACTTTATCTAGAAGCAATTGTAATAGCTACTTTGAGTATTCAAGTTAGAGTTAACTTGAAGTTGTCGCAACAGTTAGAGGCTGGTTGCTACAACGGGATTAGAGGTAATCCTTAGGTTTACAAAGAGTTTTGTAAATGCTGTTTTGGCTCAGTAATTTAGTGAAGTGTTGGGGAAAATCCTACTGAGTAGTAGGTCATGGTTTTTTTTCACCTTTTGAGCCGGGTGTTTTCCACATAAAAATACTTGTGTTCTTTACTTTATACATTTATTATTCCGCAACAGTAGTAGAAGGAACACATAGAAGAACTAGGTCCTTCCATAATCAGTTTAAGCAAAAAATTGGTCACCACACAAATCATCCCCCCTCTTGTGTGGTATTGAAGTGTAAAACATCAATTGCTATCAGAGCAGGTTATCCTTGAAGAGGCTAACACCTTAGGAACAAATCAAGATGAGCGCACCAACTGGAAATTGGGAAGGGCAATCCACTGATAGGCCTCCACTCTTTAATGGTCAATACTACTCTTAGTGGAAAAACAGGATGAGAGATCACATCATCGTAGAAGACTATCAGCTATGGGACATTGTCACTGATGGTCCCCTGGCTACCATGAAGAAGAATGCTGAAGGAGTAGATGTGCAAAAAACAAGAGCATACTGCAATGTTGAGGACTTGAGGAAGTGGGGAAAGAATGCAAAGGCCAAGAAATGGCTTGTGTGTGGACTTGGTCCAGACGAGTACAGTAGAATTCAAAGTTGTACCACTGCTAAGGAAATCTGGGATACTTTGCAAGTGGCTCATGAAGGAACACCTCAAGTGAAGAGGTCCAGAGGAACACTGCTGTATTCTTAATATGAGAATTTCACCATGAAGGAAGGGTAAACCATCCAGGAGATGTATACAAGGTTTACCACACTGACAAATGAACTTGAGTCTCTTGGAAGGGTTATTCTTGAAGAAGACAAAGTTGAGAAGATTTTGAC